TCCTTCTCAGAAAGAAATGGGCCCTACTTAGGGTGGGACAGACTATACAGTCTGATTGCTCTACATGCCCTTAAGGAAAATAACCTCTGACCTACTTTGATTGACCTCCTAGTGTACGGTCATTTACCATATGTAGCAAGCAAACGAGGTTCTGGAAAGGTAAACTCGAGTACATCTATTGAAACTGCTAACCCTGGAATGACCAGGTCATTGTGTAGCCCGGGACACCACCAGGGGGAGCCAGCTCCTGGAGAAGGGCAGCATGCTTGGTAAAGCAGGTCTGCCGAAAAAAAAGAGGAAGGTCATCAAGAGGATGGATTGACACAGTGGGTGCAACCACGGGATCACACGAGACAATGCACAGCGCAGGAATGAGCAGGGCTCATTGTCTCTGAAGTCGTTGTGGGTTGGAGCAGACTTGACAGCATCTAACAGCAGCAGCACGTGCGGGAAGGCCCCCAATTCAAATACATTGAGAGGCCCTCCCGTAAGTCTTGATCGGAACAAAACCAAGGTGAAGACACATCGCCAGGTACGGCACACCATCCACACCGAGAACATCATGGTACCCAAGGCAGTCACAGCCCCTCGACTTCATTCAAGAAAATCATCACGGAGTCAGGATCGGTGGCCACTGTCAGCGGCAAGACCGGCAAGACGACGAAGGCCACTATCACCGACAAGACGACAACACCCCAACCGGGGTGTTGGGGAGAGGACCATGACTGGGACACATAGACAATTGCAGATGAGGAAAGCTTATCGGGTTAGTTCTGGGCCCTCCGACCACCTGGCTACTGGATAGTCAGGGGTCTAACTCATGCCGATGTGGTGCGGACATCCCCACTGCCATTAAGGAAATGGTCAGGGGAGTGGTAATCTACGTTCAGACCTACTCTGCCTGAGGGCAAAGCTTTGCACATTGCCAGTTAAGGGTCACACAGAACACAAACGGAAGCTGACGCCGTATGTATGTATGTCAAGACCGAACTGAACTTGGCACCCTCGCGGTAAACACAGCCTTCAGCCGAGCAAGGGCGGAGGAGTGAAGCTCTAATACAGTGATCAGACATGACCCAAGGCCCAGCTCCCCAACCCTGACCAGCTCTATGACCCTGGATGGGTTTTCAGGGTTCCCTAAGCTGGTTTCATCATCTGTAAAATGAGGAAACTAAAATGAGCGGATTCCGGGAACCCAAGAGGAAAGCGAATTTTGGGAATAATGAGGGCAACAAATGTATAGATGTGCTTTACACAATTGATCTATGTATTGTGATGAATTGTATGAGCCCCAATAAATTGATTTTTAAAAAAAAGAGGAAACTTTCTATCTTGCGTGGCCTTGTGAAGGGTAAATAAACTCAAAAGCAAGCCAGTTGATTCTGACTCACGTCGGACCCTCTGGGTTCAGAGTAGAACTGGACACGACAGAGTTGTCATCACTGGGACTTCTCAGAAGTAGATCATCGGGCAGTGTTTTCAAGGTACTCTGGGTGGATGTTAACAGGCAAGCTTTTAAACCTAGAAAACGCTGCCTCGGTGCCTGGCATATGGCAAACACTCTTAATACGCCATCTCCTCTCTCTACTATGATGATTGTCATTGCTGCTTTTATTGGTTTAGATTTTACCTCTTGCTTCCTCTCTCTTCCCATCAAAAGCACACCACCTTGCCCTGGCTCAGAGTTTGGGGCTAATCTACCCTGTAGTCCATTAGTTCCAGCTCCCTCATCCTTCAGCCTTTCTCAAAACATGTTGGTGATGGTTAAGGTGTGTGTCAACTTGACTGGGCCATGATCAGCGGTTTGACAGTTATGAACTAGTCTCCCTGGTGATGTGTGTTATAATGCAGTCACTTCCATGAGGAGATTCGCTCTGAGCAGCCAATCAATTGAAATGGAATTTCCTCTGAGGTGTGACCTGCTTCCAACAGAGACAAGACATTCTGGGAAATCTCTCTTGTCTGTGCTAGACCTGGCCCCAACATCTGGTTCAGCATCATCTTGAGCCAGTAGCCACTTGCCATTGCCTTCTGATCTTGGGATGTGTTATCCTTTGCAGCCTGTGAGTCAGCAGTCTAACATCTTACCTGCTGGTTTGGATTCATTAGCCTCAACAGCCTGGGAGCCATTAGAATGCTATCCAACATGATGATCTTGGGGTCATAAGCCCCTGGAGCTACATGTTGGGTACAGCCTACAGTTTGACATCTGATTCACAGACTGGAGACTTACCAGCTTCTGCAACCATGTTAACCATTTCCTTGAAATAAATATTATACATATATATATATATATATATATATATAATATTTATATATATCCCGGGTTTTGCTTCTAAAGAGAACCAAGCCTAAACCAACTTCCTATGTGTATCCCCTCATTTTTGCCTGACCCTCCCCTGCATCCCTGTTCCTGGTCAGAATTATGATACTTGATGTCAGTGAATATTGCCACGGAAGTCAGTTCTGATACTTATCTTTATGGATGAACTACAAATAGGTGGCAAGTTCAAGAACCCGATGCCTCATCTCAAGCAAGCCACCCAAACAGGTGTCAGTCTTCTACCATAAAAACCAGAGGAAGTGAAAGGTTCTCCCATCCAGGAAGGGTCTGAGGAGGAGATTGTGACTGATCCCAGGGACCCCATCCCGACCGTCACACCAGACCTTGGATAAAAGCACCTTTCTAGCCAAGGCTAGCATCTTCAGCTTTATGAACTATGTTCCACCTTACCCGTTCCATTTCTCACTCATTGGACGCGGTGTCATTCTCTCTTGGCTCTGGCTAGCCTGCCAGCTATGTTTGGGTCTCTGTGTGTGGTTCAACGTATTCACAGGTCACCCTGACTAATGCATAACCTCCAGGTGTATAGCCCCTGGTTCAACTCAACTTTTTGTCCTGTGGCAGTCATCTCCCACCTCCCAAGTTTGGTGTGTTCCTGACCCAGGGAGGAGACTGGGAAAGGTGACCGTCTTTACGATAAATGACTCTTGGGTTTGCATTCTAGATAAAACAATTTAGACACGGGCCTGTACTTTATATCTAAAAAATAGCCATGTTGCCAAAGACCCTGGTAAGGCTGATATTTGGAAGTCGTTTGTGCGGAAGGGGATGGCTGACTCCCTAAGAAATCAGTACGTCCCATTCTCCGAGAATCCCGGCTAGGATCCTACTAATTAAAAGGCTACATTCTGAAGCCAGGGGCTCATGTCTAAATCCTGCCTTTGCAACTGTCCATATTGGGAAGGGTTTGCTCTCTCTGGTTCAGTGAGATAAACAGGATCATTTAAGCAGCATCTCGATCCTATTCAGCTAGGTGTGTTAGAATCATACACTCAGTTCTGGCTATTGGGCCTCCTGTCATGCTTTCTCTGCCTCTGTTTTTCCTAGGTTCTGCTCCTTGTATCCGTAAATCCATCTGTACACTGAGCTCAACTGCTTCCCTCCGATGCCTTGTCTTCTGGCCCTGTGGTAGACCACAGACACACGAAGGCATCAAACCGTGGAGTTTAGGGGTGGCTAAATGCAGACACGGGACAGAAAGAGACTTACAAACAAATACACTCATTACAAGGTGAAGGGTGCTGAGGTAGAGGGGAGGACATGGTGCGTTCTGTCGGAGGGAACACGCTAAAGGAGGGTATCCAGGAGTAAAGTCTTCCTGGGAAAGGTGGAACTGAATCTCGACATCCTCCATCGGAGGAAGGCAAAGCACTCGCAAGCTAAGAAATCTCACCCCACATCCTGAATTCTAGTGGCCTGGGTCCAGTGGCTGTGTTCTCAGCTTGCACCCAGGTCTCTTTGTTGAGATCAGGGTCTGACTTGTGGGCACTGTCACCACTCTCTGGTCTCTCTCCCCATCCCTTTTTGTGTCCCACAAAAGATTTCATGCTTTGTTTTAAGGGTCTATCTTAATCCTATGTAGAGGACCCAGTCCTTTCCCAAGACTTTAATGCTCTCGGAATTCTAGCCCAGGGACTAGTATTCCTGCTGCTACAGCGTGTCCTTGTCAGCTATTCCTCCAAGATCTGGGCCTTGTTTTACATCCCCCAGGGCTGCGGCCATGCACACAAGGATCTGCCGAATGACCACCTATCAGCCTAGGCCTGCCTAAGTGCCCCACACTGGGGACCCCACTTCACTGAAGAAAAAATAAATCAGCAC